AGGCGCGGCGGGCGCGGCAGCTGTCGCCGCCGGGGTGGTGCTGGGGGCGCTGGAGGACACCGCCAGCGGCACCGCAAAGTTCAGCGCGACGGGCGAGTGGAGCAGCTCCTGCAGGGAGAGGGAGTGACCTTCGGGGGAGCTGGAGGCCGCAGCGCCGTCGTGCTCGCCGCTGCGCTCGATGGTGAAGACGAGCTTGTGGCGGTGCGTCTGGTTGGTGTCCGCGGCCTTGTGGAGGCTGAGGTGACTGGAGGGTGCGGCGCCACCGAGGTGGACGGGCCCGAACGGCCCCAGGTTGCCGATGGAGATGGGCCCGCGCATCTCGACGTGCTGCCGCTTGGAGGAGATCACCACCGCCGAGTCCTGGTCCGAGTCGTACGACAGCACCAGGTTGGGCCGGCCACCCTCGTCGTCCGCCATGACGCGGAGCTGGTGCGAGGACGAGATGTGCAAGATGGGCTTGGCGTCGTGGGGCCTCGCGGCCGCGGCCGCAGTCGTGGCCGTCGGCGCAGGCTCCTCGGGTATCAGCCTGCCGCGCATGAGGTGGGGGTGGTGCGCGCCGGTGTGTACGGCCCTGGCCTCGCCCTCGTCCACCCAGTCGTCGTCGTTACTGCTCCGGAGGGCCAGGTCGTCGACGGCGTGGCCCGGGGGCGAAGCGGTGCCCTTGTGCGGCAGCAGCATGACGCGCACCAGGGCCTTCCGGACGACTCCGTCGTCGCCGGGCGCCAGGGCCGCTGCCGTTGGTGCTGCTGGCGGTGCTGGTGGTGCTGGCGGTGCTGCCGGCGCGCTGTTGATCCGCAGCGCGCTGGGGGGAGGGGAAGGCGGGCGGGCGGTCAGCACTGGGGGGCAGGAGCAGCGGTCCCAGACACTCTCGCATCACAATGCTGGAGGCAGAGCCCAGCTCTGGGCAAGCTAGCCTACCTGGTCGCCTCGGCGGTCCTGCTGCTAGTGTTCTTGGCGGGTCGCCGATGCAGCCGAGCCCCACGGCGGCGCTCCGGGTCCGGCGAGCTCGTGTCGTCCGGCGCGGCCGTCGGCTCGTGCTCGTGATCGTGGTCCTCGCTGTGGTCGTTGTTGGTGGGCGTGCTCGCGGTGGCCGCCTCCTCCTCGCCACCGTCCTCGTGCGGGGGCGTGGCCGTCGTCGACGGCGGCCTGGTGTACGACCCCAGGGGGTGCTCCGGTGCGTGCGAGCCCTCTGCCCGTCGCACCACCCGAAGTGAAATGCCCATAGTTGTAGCTGTGGGCACAGAGTGGTCACAGGCAGCCGGGTGGGGTTGCCTCTGACGCTCTGTGTGCCCACGACACCACGACACTTTGAAGGACACCGTCGCGGTGTAAGGACTTACCTGGGGAGCCGGTCACCACGGCGCCGTCCTCCAGCGGCATCATGCGCCCCAGGGTGACCCGGTGGTGCGACGAGGCTGCACAAGCAAAAGAAGAGCACCGCGCCCTGTGTGAGGGGAGGACATCTCCCCTTCCCTCCCAAATCTTTTGCAAGTTCCTCGACAACTCCCACAGTGTCCCCCTGCCCACGTTGCAGGTGGGCGCCGCGGCGCTGCGCCTATGTGTCGCGGTGCGCCGTTGGCGGGGGGCGCAGGGACGTGACGAGGCGGAGGCCGCGACGGGAAGCCCTCTCAGACACAGACGTACCTCGGACCACGGCCAGCAGCACGCAGGCGGTCGCCGCCAGGGCCGGCGCCACCACGCCGCGGACAGCCATCCTGGGCCTGCTCGCCTGCTGCTGCCTGGCCTGCACAGGCCGACACGGCGCCCACCGGGAGTTATCGCCGACGCGGCCAGGCCGGGGCCCCGCGGCAGGCCCCCTCCCTGCTCTACCCCCCTCC